TTTCTACACTGCGATGAGCAGCATCCAAAAAAGACGAGAAACACTTCACAAAGTCTATCGCCTGCAAATATACAACTACATGTGTTGATGCTAATGTGTAAATTCCGTGAATTTTTTTTGGAAATTCTCATTAGTTTCTGCTAAATTTTCCCCCAAATTCACATAAAAACTCCCAAAATCAATGAGAAAACTCCCAAGCTCAGCCGAGGAAACCCAACATTGTCGTCACCTCTCCAGAGCTGCTAGCTGTCGGCCAGGCTGATACACCCAAGCTTGTAAATGCTGCAGTGTCCACTCTTGCCCACTCACACGAGACTCCAACGTTACTGTTAACCTACAAAATCGTCATTAAAAAAACTTCGCTCCGCCCCCGAGTTTTTCCCAATACGGGAATAAATGCATATGTCGGTGAAAATGTGATAATTTCGAGCAATTTTTGGGGAAATTTTTGTACCCTAATTCGAATTTGTATTCCTATAATCAGCTTTGGAAACTCTTCTGAGCTCAGCTGAGAAAAGCGGCGAACATATGTATTCCTACCCCAACACTGTTGTTTTGCTCACCTATAGTATTCCATCAACCTCTCCCTTATCTGTGTTGCGAAAGCCGCCGCTGTAGGGGTCGAATGTGCATGCGTGCAGATCGATTCATCGTCATCAAGTAGACGATTACATCGCTCAAGTAGTCGTCTGAAAATGAAATTTCACCCGAAAAAAAGTGAAAATTATATTTCACGACTACTGCTTATCATCGCGACTTCACCCCGCCACTTCACGTAAAACGGGTCGTAAAACTCCAACAACCCTCTTCACCTGTATATTCCTCCAACGTGGCATACATCATGACAAGCCGATCCATGCCGAGCCGAAAGCTCTATATCTCGACCGTTACTGCTACCACCAAATATATAACGCTCCGTGCGAGGATTGAACCTGTGCGGTTTAAGACTCCTCATTTTACCTTTAGTGATGTAATACTCTGCGAAAAACGCGATATTCGCGGTGATATGCAGTAGTCGTGAACTATGTTTTCCACTACTGTTTTTCATATCACTAGGATGAAACTCTACTGTGAATTTAGGTTCTTGAAATGAGTTTAATTCTGAGCGTGCCACCATAGAGAACTTTTCTATTAGACTTTCACCCCAGTGATATGAAAAACACTAGTGAAAATAATATTTCACGACTACTACAGGAATCCGCGAATATCGCGTTTTTTCACCGAGTTTTACGCCACCCCTTGTAAAACGGGTCGTTAAGCTCCATTAAATTTGTTGGAGACATTTCATCAGAAAACGATCATATGAAAATACGCTGACCCAGAAACTAATGCGAAAAAAAAAATGCAAAATTTTCGAGTTGTTTTTTCAATGTAAAATCGATAATGTAAAATCCATTTTTTTATCCGTAATATTAAATTACTTACTGTAAAACTGAAAAAATTGTAATTTTTTCCCATGTAAAACTAAAAAACTGTAAATTTTTTTCATGTAAAACCGAAAAAATTGTCATTTTTTTCCATGTAAAACTGAAAAATTGTATTTTTTCCATGTAAAACTGAAGAAATTGTCATTTTTTTCCATGCAAAACTGGAAAAATTGTATTTTTTTCATGTACAACTGGAAAAATTGTCATTTTTTTCCATGTAAAACTGGAAAAATTGCATTCTTTTCATGTAAAACTGAAAAAATTGTAATCTTTTTTCATGTAAAACCGAAAAAATGTATTTCATGTAAAATTGGAATTGTAATCAACAATGTGAAATTCGTTATTGCTACTAGTTTTATTAGAAATATTAAGCTACCGTAAAATTACAAAATTTATAATTAATCTTTATCACCAACACCAACCTGAAAATACTGCCGTCTACGCCTTGCAGAACGAATACTAAGTCTCGTACGAGCTCCGACTCGGTCGCCCCTGATATCACATTCATTTATAAAATCAGCTACCCCAGCAACATCACCCTTGATTTCAACAACCGATATAACTTCATTCGAAGTGTTGCTGTTGGAAGGTCCTCGAGCCGCTACGGAGCCACTGAGCATCTTCACCGCTGCTCCCTCATTGTTGGGTGTAGGCTGCGTGCACGCGTGCGCAAGGACGTCCTGAGAAAATGGCAAATCGTATAGTGGAAAACTTTGCACTGCGGTGCCGTTTTAACGTTGAATGCTACGACGATAGTGAGCTTTAATGGGAAATCCTAAGGCTGCATTAAGTGATTACTAATGGGAGAATTCAAGTGCAATGATTTTCAACAACAACAATCTGGTCGCTGTTTTGGAAAGAAGTTATGCAGTGGCAATATGTCCATGAGTTTTCTTCGTCGTTGCGATAGATAAGACGTATGCCTTTCGCGAAGATACTCATGGTAGAATGAAGTAAACACCGATGCGGGTCTTAAAAAGCTATTCATATTTTATATGAATAGGATTAAGGTATATTGTATAGTCTTGCTGTATATAGTTATAAGGCTTAAAGTTGGCATCAGACGACAACAACAACATATACAACAACCACAACAACAACGACAACAGCAACAACAACAACATATACAACAACAACAACAACAACGACAACAGCAACAACAACAACAACATATACAACAACAACAACGACAACATATACAACAACAACAACAACAACAACAACAACATATACAACAACATATACAACAACATATACAACAACATCATCATCAACAACAACGGGTTACCATATTCCCACACAGGTTCTCCTTATCAGCCGTCCCCATCATCAAAGCCAGAAACCGCAGAATGGCCGCTCTTTCTTTCAGCACCGAGCCGTTTGTCTGTAATTGCCTAACTAGCGTTTGGCACTGCAGTGAAGGGGGTAGGGACTTGCCGCCGGTACTGTTCACTTCCCCTGAATGAAAGAGAGCTCATTTACATAATCAATTTGTGTGAAGTGAAACTAACCTACCGACACGCGTGTGTTCCCTACGCTCCAGCGTCCTGATGAGGCTCGTCAGCACCGAATTCTCAGGGATCTCAGCGATGCCGAAATCCACTTGTTTACATGCTAGAGGCGATAAGGCCCTGAAATTCAGAAGCACTGAAGGGAGTGAGAGTATTGCTGTTAATAACTCACCAATGAAATCTCTCGTTTACTCGGGCATCCCCTAGTTCATCAGGAATGCCCATGATATCGGCTACCAACATGCGGACTATTGACGACACATTTGGATTGTCGATGGTCATATGGTAGAGTAATGTTGAATACAGAGCGGCGGCCTGGCAAACCAAAGCACGGGGTGTTGATCAGATAGAAGCCAGATTTGATCCCGATCAATCTCTATCTGAATAAAACTGCCACGTCTGAGTTGAATCCAGAGCGATGGAGTATCCCCTTCGCCCTTAGTCATTGGAGGGTCCATTGACCGAAGGGAGAAGGGAATACTCTTTTCCAATTTGGGACACCACATTCCCTTCGGTCTTCACAACATAGGACTCATTGTTACAACGAGTGAGCATAAAGCTACCGCAACGAATGCACTTGATGCCGAATTGCATGTCGTGTG